CGGAGCCTCGACCTGTGGTGTTCCGGAGACTCACCCTGTGCTGTTCCGGAGCCTCACCCTCGCCGGGCAGCTCCTCAATGATTCCGGTGTCCTAGGTCGAGGGGTCTCGGGGCATGACCCAGGTTACCGTTGTCGGCGGTAACCGCCAGCGGTTACCACCGCTGGCGGCGGGCGGCGGTGCGTCCCTCGGCACGGACGGCCAATGGATGCGCCAGGTCGGGTGTTACCGGCTGCGTTTTGTCCGTGCAGTGTGGTGACGACGGCACGGCACTGGCCAAAGGTTTGTCTGGCGGCGGGCGGGTCCACGTTGGTGGGTTCCAATCCTTTAGATAGGCTGGACGTCACTTGTAGAAGATCGTAATATTATATATATATATATATATATATATATATATATAATGCACTTTCTGTGCGTGAAAAGACCCTTACATAAGCTGCGTGGGCTTGCGCTGGAGTGCACGATCTGTGCACCTCTACTAGCAATCCTTGCGTGCTTTGATTGACAAAACGACATCCGTGCGAATGAGTTGCATGGCTGCTCTCCGTCCAACATTCCTCTTCCTGCTTTGGGGCTTAACAATTCGTCCAACTTCCCGCGGACTTAGCTAATTCCATTGAAACCTCCACCATTTGCCCAGCCGTTGTACATCCGTGGCGGCCTGCTCGTGCCAGGCATGTAGCAACGCCTCAAGTGAACTGGGACGAAGCCGCACCAGGCTCCGGTGGTCATCTTGCCGATGTTGTGGCGCGCTGGTGTGGACTCACTAGCCCTTCTTCAACCCACGCCTGACTCCAGCTGTCCGCGCGGGGCCACCACTCCGGCCAGCAGTGCAGAGGGAGGGGCGCGCGCCGCGCGGTGTGCTCCCCGCCGTCCCTCCCGGACGCCCTCGCGCGGCCCGCCCGGACCGTATCCCGGCCGCCTGCCGCCATTGTGCGCCGTCCGGCCCCGTCCGCACGCGCTCAAACGGCCTCACCGCCGCCGATGATTGCGGAAACAATAGCCGGACATGCGCCGGTGCTGCAGCTAACGGCTGGCCGGCTGATCTGATGCGGCAGGGCGGCCCGATCGGTCGTCTGTCGGAGGGGGCCGTCCTGCACACTGCACACCAGCTGGTCCTCACACATGTACCGCACGACACCGCCTGAAGCCGGCCGAGCGGCTCGGGCCGAGGGACCGGCGCGACGCTCACCTCGCGCGACACCGGCCGTGCGCCACACCGGCCGTACGCGACACTGTCCGTGCGTGACATCGTCCGTGCGCCACACCGGCAGTGCGCGACACCGGTCGTGCTCGGCGACACCTACCTTACTCGTGCGTGCGCGCGGGCCTGTGTCGCACGAGCTCTTTCGGGATCGATCTGTTGCTAGGCGTGTTTTTCATACACATACTGTGTTTCGCAATGTTACTGAACGTGACGAAGGGCAGACGAACGTGAGGTGGAGGGCTCTTAAAGCGCGGCTTGGTTTGTGGCAACATGTACGGCAGCTAGTCCTTGAGCTACGTCCAGTGAGACCCATTTCAAGACAAAGAGCTACGGGCCGCGTGGAGTGCGTGTGGGTTAGACGGCGCCTGGGCTCACGCGGCGCGAGCGCGGTCCTTGCGCCGGTGCGTGGCGCGCGCTGAGGCGTGATAATAGCGCACGGTCTCGCGGCTGACCTCGCGTGCGGCCGGCGGCGGCGCCCGGGGGCGGCCGCCGCTCTCGGCGTTCTGGCCGCGGCGGCTCCGGTACGGCAGCCGCCCGCGCCCGGTCGGCTGACCTCTCGCGGCCGGCGGCGGCCCGGGGCCGGCGCCGCTCTCGGCGTTCTGCCGCGGCGGCTCCGGTACGGCAGCCGCCCGCGCCCTGCCGGCTGACCTCTCGCGGCCGGCGGCGGCGCCCGGGGGGCCGCCGCTCTCGGCGTTCTGGCCGCGGCGACTGCGGTACGGCAGCCGCCCGCGCCCTGCCGGCTGACCTCTCGCGGCCGGCGGCGGCGCCGGGGGTCGGCCGCCGCTCTCGGCGTTCTGCCGCGGCGGCTCCGGTACGGCAGCCGCCCGCGCCCTGCCGGCTGACCTCTCGCGGCCGGCGGCGGCGCCGGGGTCGGCCGCCGCTCTCGGCGTTCTGACCGCGGCGACTGCGGTACGGCAGCCGACTGCGCCCGGTCGGCTGACCTCGGCGTGCGGCACGGCGGATGGCCGGCCGACGAGGCGTGCCGAGCGATGTCAAGCGTGGGAGGCTTGGTTCCGATGTGACACTGGAGTTTCTGGCCGCGGCTTGCTGCAAGGAGCTTGGTCTGCGGACACGCGATTGTGGTTGATTTTTCTGTGCAGTACGGTGTTTTCGTCAAATCTCTTTGTCCTTGTTACTTGTTTTTGTGTGCGTGTGAACGGTTATGCGGAGTTATCTGGGTGTTGTGCAAAATCCAATCGAAATGTAGGCTGTAGCCGTTAGCCGCCATATGCCAGCATGCTGGCACTCAAATCCATTGTAGCTCTTTGAGAACACGATGCGCGCAGAATGAGGCCGTCTGAGGACAATACACATTGTTTGTCACCTGTTACGATCTGCATTCGCTGCACGACGCTCCTGCCGTCTGTTGTGACGTCATTTCTTGCACCTTGCACCTGCACTATGGTGACCGTGCAGGCCGTGACTGCGGTGAGTGTGTACAAGTCCCCTTCCCTGTCCGGCGCGGACGGCCCTCCCGGAAAGGTCACCCTCTCGGACTCGTGGAAGGGGGTGCTGTACCCCTGCCGCCCCACGGGGGGAGCCGCCAGAACCATGCATATGGATGCCGCGTGGGCGCCCCACGGACGTTTGTTTTCCCATAGTGAGGCTCGTTGCGCCCGGGTCCCCCGTCCTCCCCCGTCTGTGGTACGCAACCCCAGCCGGGCGGAGCCCCTCATCGGGCAGGCCGATTAGGCCGATTGGTGGCGTGATTACGAGGCCGCCCCCCTACCCCTCCCGCAGCCGCGCCGCCGGTCCCCGTCCTGACCGGGCGGCATTTCCGGCGGTGCCGTGCGTGGGGAGCACGGCGAGCCCACACCGGCCAGGGGACGGCTGGCGGCCGGCCGCAGCGGCAGCCAGCGCCGGGCGGACGGCCTGGAGCGAGCTGCCGGCGGGCACCGGTGGCCGCGGCGCCACGCGTCGTGAGGGCGCTGCGGCGCTCTCGCGTGCGCGCGATAATGGCGGCCCTCTCCGATGCACGCCGATGTGGGAAGGCTACCTATTGTAAGGCACAACGTGGCCGGCCAATTAGCTCATTTACAGCGTCTGTTTTGATGGCGGGGTTTTATGCACGGCGGCATTTCAAGGTCACGCGGAGGCCACCAGAATCCGCTGGAAAACAAGGCCTGACGGGAGGGGTGACGTCAGCCTATGACCGGCGCGGACCTATTAGAATTCAGCGGCTGGCTGGGCCGCGGCTGGGCCGCTGCTTTCACGTCTGGCTGCGGCTCGGCCAGTGCCCTCGTACCCGTCCGTCCCGCCGGGCGCCTCCCACGCCACGGCCGGGACAGCGCTGCCTCTGGCCGGTGGTCGGCCTGCGGCGTCAGTGGTCACGTGCGCATAACCGCCGTTGACACCCAGCGTGTCAGTGGGTCTGGCGCTCGCGCAGTGTCTGTTACGTGCGCGGCGCGAATTGGACGCATCACGACCACGGACCACGTCAGCGGGTCGGCTCCGTTCAACCGAAGATCAGCTCCGGCTGCATTCGGCCACAGCATGTCAGCTGGACGGGGTCCATCTCGGCCACCCCAGACCATCAGGTTGTCACGTCACGTCAGGTCAAGTCAAGTCACGTCACGTCACGTCACGTCACGTCACGTCACGTCACGTCACGTCACGATCGGGACTGAAGGCCGGCAGAGACCCGCCGGCTGCGGTTGTCAGCCTCACAGATTGGCCTTCGATCATCTGCAGACCAGTTCTGCCAGTTGCACATGTCATGGCCCACCAGCTGTGTGTCCGCCGCCGTCCGTGTTCGTTCGTGCTCCGTGCGGTGCCGGCCGTCGGCGTCTTAGCCGGAGTTCGCCGCCGTCCGTGTTCGTCCTTGTTCCGTGCGGTGCCGGCCGTCGGTGTCCTAGACGTGAGTCCGCCGCCGTCCGTGTTCGTCCGTGCTCCGTGCATTGCCGGCCGTCGGTGTCCGTCACCCAAGCACATTGTCAGTCAGCCGAGTTCATTAGCCTTCACCGCGCCGGCTCGGCGCGCATGTTCGCTGTCTGTCAGGCGCGGCCGCAGGGTGCCCGCCGTCGGCCGCCATTAGTCGTCAGCTGTTGACAGTCACCGTCCGGTGCCCTAAACGTTGGCGTCGGTCAGCCGCGGACCACCCCTGGCCGGCGGCGGCCGTCGGTCAGCCCGGCGGCTGTGTACACGGCGTCGGTCAGCCGCGGACCACCCCTGGCCGGCGGCGACCGCCGGTCAGTCCGGCGGCACCCCCCCCCCCCCCTACCCCTCCCATGTACACGGCGTCCGTCACCGCGCCACCACCGGCGCCCGGCGTCTGTCACCGCGCCACCGCCGGCGCCCAGCGCCCGGCGCCGCCCCCCGGCGCAGCGCCCGAGGCCGTGCGGCAGCGACCGGGCGGCCGGTCATTAGGTGGGCGGCCGGCGGCCGCATCCGGTCCCGTCCGGCTGTGACGACACAGTCGGCTGACGCGTGGTGACAGGGTCGCGCCGCTGCCGGCCGCGCCGACGCCGGCGCCTTTCACATGCGGCGGCCGACCGGCCGGCGCGCCCAGGTGCGCCCGACTCCCGCCGGTCGGCCGGCTGGCGGAGCGCGGCGACACGGGCACGCTTGCGTTACACGCTCAAGGCTGCCGCGTTGCAACCGTACGTTGTGCAGTGGGTCAGAAACTTCGCGGCGGCGGCGGTTGTCGCCCGGCTTACGCCCTTCGGAGAGAAGTGCGAGGAACGGGAGGGGAGCCTGAACAGGTGCGGGTTGTCGGGTTTCCGCCGTCTCGAACGTCCGAACCCGGCACGTATGATTGGACTGGAGCGTGACCGTCGGCTGTTCTGCTCGTTTCAGAATGGGAGGCGCTGGAGGCCTGTCGCTGGCTGCGAGACGCTGGCTTCCCGCAGTACGCCCAGATGTATGAAGGTGAGTGCCCCTCCCTGCACAGGCAAGGCATGGAGAGAGTGGCTCCCCTCCGCCCGGAGTCCGGGCTGGGGGTGACCGATGAAAGGCATCGACCTGCGCCGGGGAGCCGTCAGCAGCTCTTTGTTCGGGCCGGGTGATGCACGTCAGCGCCTGGCCGTGTGTGTGTGTGTGTGTGTGTGTGTGTGTGTGTGTGTGTGTGTGTGTGTGTGTGTGTGTGTGTGTGTGTGTGTGTGTGTGTGTGTGTGTGTGTGTGTGTGTGTGTGTGTGTGTGTGTGTGTGTGTGTGCGTGCGTGCGTGCGTGCGTGCGTGCGTGCGCGTGCGCGTACGTGTGTGTGTGTTGTGCCGCCGGCCTCCAATGATGCGGCTCGCCGTCGCCGGCACCGCCGGTTCATGCGGCGGCTGATCTCCTCATCGTCGGGCCGGTACGCCCGCTCGCTGCGTCCGTCCGCGGCGCCCTCAGCTCGTGGCAGGTGGCGCCGGGCAGGACAGCACGACCGCACGCCACGACCGGCTGTGGAGACGGCGCTAAATGCCCCGCATTCGGACCCAGCTGGTGTCTTGTGTCGAACGCGGTACCTTTTCTTTAGTGCTGGTGAGGTCGGACTTTCCGTGTCCAGCGGTGGATGAGTTCATCAAACAAGAGAACTGTCGGTGACCCCCGGTCGGTGCCATCCGGCCGGTCCGTGACAGCTGATTCATGTGCGTACGGACTGTGTTGGTGTCATGGCTGACCGTCATGGCGGTTGGACCGTGTCTGTGCACGGCTGCTCAGCGTCCTTCTGACGGCACGCCCATGCGTCCGCTTGTCCGTGTTTCTGGGTGCCGGCTGGCCCGTGACCGTGTGACGCTGGCCGACAGCTGTTGGCGCCAGACCGACCTACTCGCGTCGCCTCGCGTCTGTCGGTCCGTCGGTGGCGCGGCGCGCCGGCCGTGTCGGACGTGGCCGCAGCAGGTGGCGCGCTGACGGGGGAGGGGGAGGGGGCGGGGGCGGAGAGGCCCGGCTCGGAGCGACGCGGGGGAGCCCCCGAGCTGGTATAGTGGAGAGGGGCAGCCGCCGCGTCGAATGCTGACCAGCCAGCCCTTCGGCCGTGTCCTGCGCCGTGTTCTGACTCGCTTCGCTGACGAACGCTGTTGCTGTGTCCCGGCCGGGCGGGGCCTCCCTCCGCTGGCGCACTGCGGCGAGGATCAGCCCCGCCACCGTCGAGCTGACCCCGCAGTGGCGTGCGGCTGGGTGGGAGCGGCGCCGCCGGCCACTGCCCCCGGCGTCACGCGACGCCAGGCCGCCCCATTGTGCTGTCCGCCGCCGCCGCCGCCGCCGCCGTCGTCCGGGAGCCGGCCCGGAGGCGGCAGACGGACGCGGACCGAATCGGGGGAGGTGGTGAGCTCGCTCGGCGCCCGGTCAGTCCTTGAGTTACTGAACGCGGTATTTGAGTTATGTTACGTCACAATGAGCTTCTGTGGTCATTGAGCGTCACGATTTGTGTCGTTGTGACTGGGTAGCCCGGCGGCTTGATCGGCCCTGCACCGGCCGGCTGGGCTTGACCTGCGACTCCGCGGCCGCCGGCAAAAACACGTGCCGTGCGAACGGCAGCCGCGGTAAAAACGGCGCGCTGGCGGCCGGAGAGCGCGCTGCTCGGTCGACAGTCAGCGCTATCGGCACTCTCAGCGGGAGAGAGGGATAGGTCTCCTGCCCCGACCCCGCCTGCACAGTCCGCGCCGAGACGTTCGCGTGCCCGCCAGGTGGCGATAGTGGGCGGCACCGGCTGCGCTCTGGCCGTGTCCTCCGCTGGCTGGAGCTCGCTCCGTAGCGCCACCGGCTGCGCTCTGGCCGTGTCCTCCGCTGGCTGGAGCTCGCTCCGTAGCGCCACTGGCTGCGCTTGGCGTGTCCTCCGCTGGCTGGAGCTCGCTCCGTAGCGCCACCGGCTGCGCTCTGGCCGTGTCCTCCGCTGGCTGGAGCTCGCTCCGTAGCGCCACTGGCTGCGCTCTGGCCGTGTCCTCCGCTGGCTGGAGCTCGCTCCGTAGCGCCACCGGCTGCGCTCTGGCCGTGTACTCCGCTGGCTGGAGCTCGCTCCGTAGCGCCACCGGCTGCGCTCTGGCCGTGTCCTCCGCTGGCTGGAGCTCGCTCCGTAGCGCCACCGGCTGCGCTCTGGCCGTGTCCTCCGCTGGCTGGAGCTCGCTCCGTAGCGCCACCGGCTGCGCTCTGGCCGTGTCCTCCGCTGGCTGGAGCTCGCTCCGTAGCGCCACTGGCTGCGCTCGGGCGGCGTCCTCCGCTGGCTGGAGCTCGCTCTGTAGCGGCACCGGCTGCGCTCTGGCCGTGTCCTCCGCTGGCTGGAGCTCGCTCCGTAGCGCCACTGGCTGCGCTCTGGCCGTGTCCTCCGCTGGCTGGAGCTCGCTCTGTAGCGCCACTGGCTGCGCTCTGGCCGTGTCCTCCGCTGGCTGGAGCTCGCTCCGTAGCGACCGGCTGCGCTCTGGCCGTGTCCTCCGCTGGCTGGAGCTCGCTCGTAGCGCACTGGCTGCGCTCGGGCGGCGTCCTCCGCTGGCTGGAGCTCGCTCTGTAGCGGCACCGGCTGCGCTCTGGCCGTGTCCTCCGCTGGCTGGAGCTCGCTCCGTAGCGCCACTGGCTGCGCTCTGGCCGTGTCCTCCGCTGGCTGGAGCTCGCTCTGTAGCGCCACTGGCTGCGCTCTGGCCGTGTCCTCCGCTGGCTGGAGCTCGCTCTGTAGCGCCACTGGCTGCGCTCGGGCGGCGTCCTCCGCTGGCTGGAGCTCGCTCTGTAGTGGCACCGGCTGCGCTCTGGCCGCGTCCTCCGCTGGCTGGAGCTCGCTCTGTAGCGCCACCGGCTGCGCTCTGGCCGTGTCCTCCGCTGGCTGGAGCTCGCTCCGTAGCGCCACTGGCTGCGCTCGGGCGGCGTCCTCCGCTGGCTGGAGCTCGCTCTGTAGTGGCACCGGCTGCGCTCTGGCCGCGTCCTCCGCTGGCTGGAGCTCGCTCTGGACCGGCGCAGGTGTGCGCCGCCGGGCTCCGGCGGGGCGCCGCTGAGGACCTGACTCCAGACCCCCGGCCGCCGGCGGGCTGGCCGGACCCCGATGGGCGGCGGGCCTCGGCTGGGCAGCGGCGCACCACCCGCCTGGCCGTGACTGTGGGTACCGGCGGCCCTTTAAACAGCCCGGCGGCCGCCAAGGTCGGCCTGGGTTCGCCTCCACGGCCGACCTCGGGGGTGTGGCGCCGTCCGCGGCTGCCGAGCGGCTGGTATGAGAAGCGAGCCGGCTCTGCGACTCCGACACTCATGTCTGACATCTGGGCCTTCTGTCGCCATTAGAGATGACAGAGTTCGGCGTGGTGCGTGCGGGAGGAGAGTATGGGCTGGAAATGCCTGGCTTATACAGGTTGGTTGCTGGGCCAAGGTCCGCGCTTTCCGGTCTGATTCTTATGAATGTCGTTTTGTCGGAATCCGATCTATTTTTTCTGGAATCCGATCTGTTCAAATGTTTCAGACAAATGTTTCTCATCGAGCCGTAGTCTTGTTAAGATCCGCGTGGTGCCAGCAATCCAACTTGTGCATAATTAAAATCAACTAGCTCGAGCTAAATCAAACACATTTTCGGTAGCCGGTGTGGAGCCGTTGCTTAGTAGGCTGATCCTGCGCGCAAGGGCGCCTCCATCGCTTTTTCCGAGGTCGCTTGAGTGCTTGGCACGCGCCAAAGAACCTGCAGTATCGGCGGATTTTTACAATCGCTCTTCACATATCCAGACGATCTTTTATCAGCTCCTGAAGTTCAAGGAGTAGGCAGCGGATTTGAGGAGCAGATCACCTCCGTCCCATGGCCTGTCCGCAGGCGCCCCTGCGGCCCCGCCGCCGGCCGTTGCACGTCACGTGCAGGGCGACGTGTTGCGCGACTGCGCTCGCCATGTGTGTTTACTGTCGGTGGGTATCTGCCGTCGCGTCCAACCACGCCTCAAATTTGAATCGGGTTGGCGCGGCCGGCCGTTGCGGTGCGGGCGGATCAGCAGCGTGGCTGAATCAGCAGCGTGGCTGAATCAGCAGGCGGGGGCCGGCGCGTGACGCGGCGCGGCGGACGCACAGAGCGCGGCTGGAGGGCGGCGCCGCCGGACCTCCGCCCCCGCCCGGCTGCCGGCGCCGCTGCTGACCCGGCTGAATGGCCCGGTTGGTGCGTGCTAGGTGGTCCCAGCCGGCAGTGACGCGGCCTGACTGGCGTGGCCGCGCGGCGCGCTGGCGAGAGGCCGCGTTACCGTGCGGCGCTGGGCTCGCTATGACCTCCGGCGACCTCTGGCGACCGCTGGCGACTGATGATTTGATGGCTGGCGACCTGCTGGCTTGTAATCACCACTGATGGTAGGGATGTGTCGCTGGTTGGGCTCATCCGCGCCCCGCTTACTGGCTTATATACGCCGGTTTATACCGTCGGCGCGCTTACGTGGACGCTGGCCAGTCCATCCCCGGTGTTTACGCCAGTCTTTCTCAGCCGACCGCATCATCGCGGCCGTCATGGTCCGCACGACTGGTCCTCTGTCGAGTCTCAGGGTCCTCCTACGGCCACACCTATTAAGGCCTTTTGCAGCTTGACCTTTCGGATCGCTCGGGGGCGGCTACCTCCGCGGAGTTGGGAGCAGGCGGGTGGGCTTCCGGCGTCTTCGGGCGGCCAGTGACACGACCCCGTGACCGGGCGGAGGACGCCGCGTGCGCCGGGCGTCGCCGGCGGTGGCGCGACCTTCGGGTGTTATCTGGCGGGACCGAAGTCCGGCCGGCCGGCCGGCGCGCCCCCGGCCAGCAGCAGTGCGGGCCGGGGGCCGGCGACGGAGGGCCGTGTTGGTCATGTGCCGCCTGGTGAGAGGGAGCACGCCAGTCGACTGGACCGGCGCCGGCGCCGGCTGCGACTGCCTCGTGCCGCTACCTCGGTTGGGGACGCCGCCGCCGCTGTACCCGGCGCCCGCCGACCTGCTGGCGCTCTACTGCACTCCCGGTGAGGTGGTGAGCCGCTGGAGCAGCGGCGACAAGGCTCACGGTCGGTGAGGTGTACCCAGATCGTTGTGCCATCTCCAACAGGACACTCACAACCTGTTGGCCTTGCGAATGGACATGCTATAACACTTACGTTGGTACCATTGTTTAAATCTGCGTAGGCAGCCTGTCCTTATCGGAACACAAAATTAATGGGAAGCTTCACGGAAGCTTCCCTAATCCCTTCACGGTGTGCTCACTGGTTATGAAACTATTGCGGTTATGATTTCTGATTCGGATTGGAATTTGCAAGTTTACTCGAAATATTTTGTATGGCATGTGTCGCGCACGGCATCGCATTCAAGCAGAAACTTTCCATTCAAAAATTGCTCAGTGGGATTATGGGACCTGTACATGCGCGGGTTTTGGTGCAATTGGGAAGCAGCGGACGCACACAGATTACTTGCGAGTGAGTATTTTCTGCGAACCCGGAATGATGCTGACTTAAGACACAGTCAGCACAGAACCAGTCTAATGATTCACCGGCGCTGGGGACTGCGTTCACTGTTTTAGAAGACGGAGTATGAGAGCAGAATGGGAGATAGTGATCTGCGGAAACCGCAATTAATTCACATGACTTTCCTTTGTGTTGCTTGTTGCGAACCGCCATGTAAATTCGCCCGGCGCGCTTCAAGTGAAAACCCTGAGGATGGCTGCACCATGCTTTCTGCCGTCTTCAGCGTCACGTGCAATGGACTGAGACAGCCTCCCATCCTCATTATTGCTGCGCAATAGCAAACATGACGTCAGTTAATTAATGGGGATGACCCGCTTCCCAGCACCAATGACATGGTGAAATTGTTTGCTTGCTGCGTAGTTTACTGCATAATTTCAATTGCACAACTTTCAGCTCGTGTGGCATTTTCACGCGCGCCCATAACATCCTATCTAGTCACTCAGTCCCATTGCGGCCGGCCCAGTTACCAAGTGATCAATGCAATCTGCATGTCGGTCGGTCGTAGAGTACTTGGCTGTTGCGAGAAGTGCCGCCCACGTGGGCTGGTGGGCCGCGCGAGTCACGGCCATTCAGGGCTCTGGTCCCGTGCCGTGACAGGCTCGGCCACTCCAGTCGGATGGTGAGCTACCGGTCGTTACTAGCAGCGTAATGGCCAGTCTCGTCTCGGAAACCCGGCCGCCCTGGCCGCTGGCTGGGTCAGCATGCTCGCCCACTTGCCCAGTCGGCGTCCGGCGCAGTGAGAGCACACGGTGGCCGCGTCTAGTCGCTGGGCCTGCATGTGGTCCAGCCAGTCCGCCACCGTTTACCACAGTGTACCCAGGTGGTACACCTCCAGTCCGCTCAGCCTAAGCACGATCAGGCAGTCGCGCAGCCGTCCGGTCCACCCGGTCCAGTTCGAGGAGCCACCGGTCATGGCCAGCCGCCGGACGGCTTCAGAGCAGCCGGTTCCGTCCCGGGAACCAACCGTCACATGTAACGAGTCCCTGCGCGATAGCGGCGCTGCAGCGCTCGGACGGGCGACGTCACTGCTTATCTCTGACCGGTCGGCCCAGCGTAAACAGGCCCGTTTCACCGGCAGCTGGCGGCATTAGCCTGACGGCGCTGGAAGTGCAGCGGGTCTGGCGATGGATACGCCCGCTCTGCTGACGAGATCACTGCTACAGAACACTCCCACTCCCGAGCGGTGCAATGGCCGACGGTCGTTTCATCGGCCGTCAGACCGTAAAAGTACGAAGTCATAGGGCCACACGAGTCCAGTGTTTGGAGGCTGTGCCCTTCAAACACACCGTGCAGGATCTGAGCTGCGGGAACCTTTCGAACGCGGGTGGGATTCTCTTGAAATTGCTCCTTACCGGCCAGGAAATGCTTTTGGATTCAGGCGTTCATGGTACAAATGTCACTTGCCTGTACCTGACTGGCGCGCTTTCTGATCCTTAGCTTCTCAACATGAGTTGACTCACATTTTGACCCGACTTCTCCGGACCGGTCCCTCCCCGTCGCACCTGCCTAAGCCGCCGTCCCCATGCGCTGCCCCGACCGGCCGGCGCCAGACGTGATCCCAGGCCTCCCGGACACAGGCGCGGCGCCCGTTGACGCACGCATTGTGTGGTGCGCCAGCCCCCGACAGGCTGCGGAACGGCGGGGAGGGTCCGGGGTATGATTGCGCCGTCCCGGCGCCGGCAGCCGCCTGACTCACGCCGCGCCGCCAGCGTCCCAGAACGCCTTATTTGGCGACGTTGCACCGTCAGGTCGGCAGAGGTCAGAGGTCAGGTCAGACGGGGAGCGGGAGGAGCGGCGGCCGCCGCCGAGACGGGCGGCGTGGCCGGGACGGGCGCCAGGCTGTCGGCAGAGGTCAGAGGTCAGGTCAGACGGGGAGCGGGAGGAGCGGCGGCCGCCGCCGAGACGGGCGGCGTGGCCGGGACGGGCGCCAGGCTGTCGTCTGAGGCCTATGTCGAGCTGTCGAACGGGGCAGCGTGTTATGCCGACCAGCTGGTGTGTGTGGGTCGGCCGTTTTGCGGTGGAACTGGCGGCGGTCGTGTGTGTGTCGGCCTGCCCGTGAGCTGTGACGCATTCCCACTGACAGCTGTGTCCCGGCTTCCAGAGTGCCGGCAGGCCCGTGAGCTGTGATGCACTCCCACTGACGGTTGTGTTCCTGCTTCCAGAGTGCCGGTGCCCGATAGACCTGCGCGCCGTGCAGAGCGACCATCCGGCCCTGGACCTAGACAGTCGGCATGCCCTCTTCAAGAGGATCAACACGGTAAACCGCGCCACCAACATGAAGCTGGAGGGCGTCAGGCGACCGGTGAGGTCACGCGAGGTCGTTGACCCAGCCAGTGATCGGGCTGGCTGGCCTGTCAGTCAGCGCGCCCGCACCCGTTTCCTCTGGAGCAGTCCGTCGGCAGTTATTGGGCCGGTGATGGGACGTGACGCTTGGAAAACAGACGGCGCTGAGACGTGTGTACCGCGCGCTCGGCGCTCAGGTCGGGTACCGCCAGACGGCGCTGTGACGTGTGTACCGCGCGCTCGGCGCTCAGGTCGGGTACGGCCGGTGGGAAAGCAGAGTTGTCTTCACACCTGCGATCACACACCGTCTTCGAGATTTAGATTTACCTCCGTTGACGAGACTTAAACGAATATCGTCCGTGATATATTTGTAAAAGGTGAGACGTCGCATAGAGGAAGGATAGCTCATCTGGCGGCTTTGACAAAACAGGGGCTCCGTTTGGTTTGTCATACCGGCCCCAGTCACGCCGTCATGCCGGCCCCAGTCACGCTGTCACGCCTCCTATCCAGATCAGCGCAACAGGTCGCCGCTCTGAACCGAGCGGTCAATCTTCCGCGGTTCCGCCGAACCCGGCAGATCTGGCCGCCAGGGCCCGGCGAACTATGCCGACGCGTACGGCGTTCCCTCCCTTAGCGTGGCTAGGTGCGGCGGCCGCTGCCGGCCGCCGCACCTGTCCTCGTCTGCGACTGCCTCGGCCGGGCGTCATCACCTGCCCGGCGGCTGACTCACCGGAGCCGACCGCCGGCGTCGCTCGTGCTCAGGCCGTGCGAGATCGGACGTCAGCAAGGTCGTCAGTCGAGCCGCGCAGGAAGCGGCCGAGCTGCCCGGGCTGGCTCGGCGGCCGGCGCCCGGCCCGGGCGTGCCCGGTCATAGTATCCGTAGTAGGCAGCGGTCGGCGCTGCGGCGAGCCTTGCTTCCTGAGTCAGCGCCGGGGACCTGAGTCAGCGCGGCCCGCCCGACCGCTGCGTGGACTGTTGCCGGCCGGGGACGGAGCTGACGTCCGCCTGGGAACGGCTGAGCGACCCTGGAAACGCCCGAGGGCGTCTGGATCGTGCCTCAACAACAGCTGGGAACGCCCGGACTCCGGTCGGAAAGTCCTGAACACCGGCTGGAAACTTCTGAGCTGTCCGTGAAGGCGCTCTCGTCTGCGTTCCACGTATGAGCGCGTGTTTGTCCTGTCTGGCTACGGCTGCTGTCCGCGGGTCCGCCCGAATGCTGCTGTCTGCAGAGGCGACGGGGATGGCGGGGTGCCTTCCTAACTCGGTCAGCGCTGCAGCGCGTCCGCCGCAGGCCGAGTGGACGGTGACGCCCGGACACGGTGAAGCCCGCGCCGCCACGTCGGGCCGTGTGATCGCGACGCCGCTGTGAGAGGCTGTATGATCGGCATGCGCGGCTGAGGCGGGCGCAGGCGATCAGTAGGGACCGAGCGGGCCGGCGGCGAGCCGCGGCCGCCCACCGCTGGCCGCTGTTATGCCGAGCGGGCCCGGACCGCCGCCGACACGCAAGGTCAGCTGCAGGGAACGGCGTCCATGCCGGTGAGCTGCCGCCCCGGCTCCTCGTGAGACCGGTCACCGTGAGATTGTCAGGGGCAATAGGCGGACTCCGAGGACGACTTCATGCCCAGCTGTTGCACGTCCACGGCGTCTGCTGTGTTGTGATGGCACTTGGGGCGGTGCTGTTTCTGCAGTTGCGGCTGTCAGGCTGCTCCGACGGGCCATCGTCCCGCGCGTGCGCCTCCTCGCGCTCCGCTGAATGTCAGTATCGGCCGACTAACTTCCGTCTTTCTGCTCATTGCGGGTGAGCCCGTTGGGTGCCGACTACCAATGAATGTTGGTCTCACCGGGGCGGTCATTTTGAGCTCTGGCGTTGAACTTTGTACAGCGCGTCCCGGCCCAGTCCTATTTGCGACGGGTCGGAAGTTCATCTGCATGAACTCTCGAGGCGGGTGGCGGAAGCGTTCCCAGCCGCTGAAAGGTCCCGGCACGCGACCGGTAGCCGGCGGGACCTCCGCCTTTGTCGAGCGGGCAGAGCTTCAGTGACCGGAAGTGCGGTGCCATGCTCCGACAGCCGCGCCGCGCCCTCTAAATGGCAGCGCTAATGAAACAGCGCTTGTCACGTGACCTCGCTACTAACGGTTCATGCCGCTGTTGTGTGGCGTCGCTGCTGTCGGACCAGGCTCCCGGTGTATGGCCAGTGTGCCGCGCGGAAGGTGCGTGCACATGGGCCGTTTTTTCTTGTGTCCATTGTTCCATCCGTCACGACCGTGTCCGAAAGCGATGCTCTCGGCATGCTATCGATCTGGGGCTGTTAGTCAGCTGCGCTTTGATTGTGATTAACAGCGATGCAGTAAATGCGCAGCTTGCAGCATTCAGCTTCGGTAAGGGAGTCTAGGATGAGGGGTAGTAGTTTAATGGCAAATGCTACTGCGCCCTAGGTGCAATACGGTTCCTTCAATATTTTGTTCACTTTTATAAACTTCTGCCATATTCAACCACGTGATCAGCTTTGATGGGCCTTCCTCAGATGTGTGCTCCTTGGTACCGTTATGCTCCACCTTCACTGTCATTGTCATATCCGGCATCCCGTTCTGCACTTGATTCCCACTCCATCAGGCGCGCCGTTACCTCAGATATGAGCCCAGCTGTTGCTTACCCGTGCCGACTGCCGGCCTCATCGCGCAAGGCACATTCCTCTGCCTTCTCGTCGTGTGTCTTCGGGTGGGTGGCTGGTGACTGACCCGGCCGCCTGCCTCCCAGCGGCCCGCCGCTCACCAGCCGCTCCGCCGCAGGGTGAGGAGAGCGACGGCGAGGAGACGCGCGCCATCAGCGATAACTGGTCCTACCTGCGCCACTCGCGGCGCTGGCGGCGCAACCCGGCCGTGCCAGCGCCGGCTGCCGCCGCCGCCACCAGCCCGCCCAGCGGCAGCTCCAACAGCACACTCAACTCGGATTCGAGCGCGGGCGCGGCCGTCGTCCAGGAGCGGCGCAGCGGCCGCGAGCGACTGCAGGACGGCGCCGCCGCCATCCTGCGCCGCATGGACAGCCTGCGCGCGCGCCGCAAGCGCCAGCAGAAGGCGTCGGCGGCGCGCGACGACTCGTCCAGCTACTTCTCGGCGTCGGACGCCAGTCGGGAGTCGCCGCGCGCGGCCCGGCCGGCCGCCGGCCGCGACGACAGTGGCGCCGTCTCGGACGGTGAGCACTCGCCGCCGCTGTGGCGTCCCCTGCCGACGGCCGGCAAGCAGCGCTGCAAGGACGCCAACTGCAACGACACGGACGCGGTGGACTTCCTGCAGACAAGCTCGCCGAAGATCAGCCGGACGCGTGGCGGCAGTCTGAGGGTGGGCAGGCCGACCGGCGGCGGCTGGCGCTCCAGCAGCCTCAACATGGGCAAGGAGAGCCAGGGCTACCGCAGGAAGCTGCAAGGTTAGTGGCAGCCGCCCTGGGATGCGGTTGTGTGAGCTGAAACTGGCTGTGACAATGTTGGCGCAGTGTTTGACAACAACGGACTGTTAGTGTTCTTCGGCGCAGTGTTTGATAACAATGAACTGTTAGTTTCTTTTCCAGAGAAATCATGGAAGAGCGCTTATCGTCGCGCTCGTCTTTTCCAGCGAGCACTAGTCCGTTACTGGTGTATTGCTGCTCAAAGATCATCCTGGCTGTGCAAGGTTCGCTACCCGTATGAAGACAAACTCACTCACCCGCTGTTGCCCCCCCCCCCCCCCCCCCCCCCCAGGGAAACTGAAGAGGAAGGAGGGCAGCGAGCCGCCGCCGCTACCGCCGCAGTGCCCGCCGGCGGCGACGGCGACGCCCGCCGCGCCGCCGTCGCTGCCGGCGGAGCGGCACCGGGTCAGCACCTACGACAACACGCCGATCGTCGTCTACAACCGCGTCTACGTGGACGAGGACGCGGCTCCGGCGCCGCCCAGCCCGCCGGGCCGGGACAGCCGGGCCAATTCTAGTGCGTACCAGCTCCAGCCGCAGACTGCGGACGCACCGTCCGAGAATGGGTGCATTGCGCGCGGTTGAGCGCCGCGTGCTCGCTTCATTTTTTTTTTTTTGCGGCGACCGAAGAAATTTGGGGGAGTAATCACTGCGTGTATGTGGTCAGACTTGGTCAAGGGCTTACATTCCAAAGGTGTTACTTCGTATTTAGCAATTAGTTGTGTTACGCTTCATTGTTGTTTTACGTGATGGTAAGCCAAAACTTATCGCGGAATTTCATTCAATATTTGTGGTTCCTAAGAAAGCATCTCAGAGATGTATGGCTTCGTCAAACGCTCCGTTACTGTATCACATTGGACGATTCCCTAGAAATTGCCTTCGCTGAAACCATGGTCTGACTTTGACCTGCCATAGGTCAGCGACCTTGCAAGGTACATCAAAATGTTTGATGTCAAACGATCCGCTATTCAATTGTCTACAGCTATGAAAATTTGGCGTGGTTACGCCGCGCCGTTCGGAAACCATTCTGGAGAACCTTCGGGCGTCAATTCCCCCCCCCCCCCCCCCCACCCGAGCGCGTGTTAAGAACGCACGCTGGACGCGGTCATTAGTTGTCCCGCGAGGAAGTGCTGCAATTATCGTTAGTTTGTTAAACAAGATATTCAGCACAGCAGCGCAATGCTACGCGTGGTGGAAAATCCAGCCAATCACTGGCCGTCGCCGGCCAGGCTCTTGGACGCCGATGATGACGTTCTTGGCCACGTGACGCTTTCCGGTCACGCGCCAGTTTCCGGATGTTTGGTGTGCTGTTGAGTCAGTGCATTCAGACCCAGTGTGCGAATGAACGAAATGGGTGTGAATGGAGGAGATGAATCAACGTAATGCGTGAATATGAACTGGACCGTTCCGGGCCTCCACGAAGGTTCCGAACGAAGCTGTCTTTGTGGAGCTCCAACCGGCTTTATCAGTTCGAAATTTCATGTCAATGTGAAGTATTCGGTTCCAGCTACTATGGCCCCTTGCTGAGGTCGCCGCGTCATTTGACATGAACTCCATGGCCATGACTTTACTATGACCCCTGCTGACGTCGTTGCGTGGGCATGAACTATGGCCGCAGCTCCACTGTGGCCCCTGCCAACCTTGCTGCGTTACGTGGCATTAACTATGGCCATGGCTCTGCTGAGGCCCCCACTGACATCGCTGCGTGGGCATGAACTATGGCTATGACTCTGCTATGCCCCCCTGCTGACGTCACTGCGTCACTTGGCATGAACTATGACTATGACTGTACTTTGGCTCACTATTGATGCCGCTGCGTCACTTAAGCATCATTCCGGAGCCGGCAGCGCTGCCAGATTCGTTTGAATAAGCAGCGGCCGTCCTGGCTACGGCCGCTACGCTGTCGCCAGCTGCAGCTGCGCCAGCAGCGTCAGTGCCAGCTCGACTGACGGCGCCGCTCTCGCCAGGTCCGCAGATCCAGGCGGTGTCGCGCGGCCGGTCGGGCAGCTGCGACACCAGCATCAGCCACAGCTCGGAGGGCTCGCTACCGTCGACGGCCGGCTCCGACCAGGAACAAAAGCTGCCCAGGTCAGGCGCCGCTGGTGGCGACATCTGTGGACGGTGGCGCCGCCGCACGTCCCACCGCGCCCGAGCCTGGCAATGGGCCGCGCGCCGCGTCGCTGGTGGAGGGATCCAAGAGCGTACGATAGCGTGCCGGCTCCGACGCGAGTCGTGCTGGCCTCCCGGTCTGGGACGGGTGCGCACATTTCGTGCAGCACGACATTAGCGCTCCCTCCAAACAGGAGAGACCCGCACGGCTCGCGCCGGGACCCACACACTACCTCTCCCACTTGCGATTGGATGCTCTCGGCCTGAGTCTGGAACCCGTGTCGGGCTGCTGGCACCTCAGCATGTTGTGCCCAGAGCACGCGGTACCTGGAGCGTTTTGGCGGTACTCTGAATCCGGCACCTTGAGGTGTGTTGCAGGGACATGCATAAGCCATCTTGCCGACAGAAAAGCTGCGTAATATGTTCTGCGTCACTATGCTACGAAAAGGCTATGCTGCGGTGGACGGCCTTTGCCTGACCAGTTGCTAGATGGTCCACGCTCGGACCAAACAGACCAAACATGTCGGACCAAACAGACGTCTAGCTCTGAAATTCGAACCGAGCGCTGATTGAACCAACCACGCGATTATTATCCGCTCGGATATGGCGATGGCACGTTATTGGCATCAGCCTTGTCGATGGATGTGTTGAAAGCTACTTTAATGGTCGACGAGCTCGCCGACGCTGTTTTTGGTAATAACGGCGCGACTTCAAACGGATGGTTGGTCGTATCTGGCATTGTGTTCTGGTTCCTTAAATATTAGGGAGGAGCGTCACCACCCTTAACCCGTTGTAACCAAGCCCCCGTCGCAAGCTAGAGTATCAAGTACTCCATGATGATATCGCCAATACTTCATGATGATATTGCCAAGCACTAATGGTGCCTTTCTGCGCTTCTCCGACGCATTATTTTCATCTAATGCGCTCATCTGGCCTTAAGCTCATCTTGATATATATATATATATATATATATATATATATATATATATATATATATATATATATATACAGTTATGTAATGGGATGTAACAGTTATGAATGGCGTACTCGTATAACCGAGAGGTAGACCGATTCTGTATCAGTGCGATTATGAATGGTCAGTGAGCGTACGGCCGTGCCGAATGCTAGATCATATAGCGGCTGGCAATGCACGAACAGAACTGATAAATATTAAATCCAAGTGAGTTCAAACACGGCCTTTGTAGGCTGCCTCGGACGTCAAAGGACGCCACTGTTTGCTGGCCGCAAACGGTGGATTGGTTTGTTTTATGGGCCTGCCGCATGCCGTCCCCAAGCTACGCCTGTGGCAGAAGCTGTATGCCGTTATACGTTATCTGTTGGCTACGTTTCCACATGCATCCCGTGGGAGGGGACGTCCGTAGCGGGTATATCACACATCACGCGCTGTTACCGCTTCGTGTGAAAAAAAACGCGTGGCATTTAGCTGTAATAACCATTTTGAGTCCAGTAGACTGCGGCATACACGCGCCATTGCTGCAGTTTGTTATTGCGGTTTCCGTTATTCCTTGGAGAGCCTGCGGCATAACATTGTACGGCGCGGTTTACAGAATGTAAGCAGTCATTGAGTGTTCAGCGCGGGGCCCTTTGAGAGTTGTGAACGATTGTTTAGTTTCTCTTCTAGATTGAGTTTAAAGTTATTGGCGCTTTGGGCTGACTTTAAGACAATAGCACGCCGCTGAGGGCAGCCTTTGAAACTCGTAATAGGGTCTGATTATGTGGTAAGATGCCACGTGCGTGTATTGCCGCGCATGATTTCCGGGCTTTAGTCAGCCAAAACACAGCATATAATTTTTTATATGCGTTGGTTTTAGCAAACCACAGCATATAATTTGTATTGGGTGACCACTGACGGTACCCACAGTGCGAAACATCGAAAAATGGCCCGCTCCCTTTTCTGACGCATAGTCTATTGATCTATATTATTAGCTGTTTCAGGTTCCTTTACATCTGTCGAAGTAAAGGTCCACTGTTGTGGGTCTGTGGGCTCCCTCACTCCCGCGTTGCACACAACACTGGCACGATGCCCACCTGTTTGTCCCTGCGCGCACGGACCGTGTACCACGCTGCTGTCTCTTCAGCCACTATGTTCGTACAGCGGTGCTAGCGGCGGTGGTGCCGGTTAGATTGCCGTCGCCGATGCTGGCGTCGGTGCTGACGCCGCCGCTTCGCCGCCAGAACCAGTGTGGTGCGGTGGCACAGCTTCCACCGGAGCGGCAGCGGCCCGCTGACGCGGCCGGCCCCGGCGCCCGTGTCCGTCTCGCCCACACACATCTCCCGCCTCTCGTCCGGCCAGATCCTGCTGCTCAAGAAGCACGCCCTGCTCAGGTCAGTCCAGAGGCCACAACGCTCCTGATGCGCCTCCCGGTCGGGCCGCGGTAGGGGCGGCGATGGGAGCGGTGCGGTGGGTGGTGGCCGGCGTCAGGCTCAGCAGTTCGGTATCGTGCTGCTTATGTAGGTCCATGCAGGTGTATGTCGTGTGTTGTTCAGTGGGCGACCTGCCCTCCCACCCCCCCCCCCCCCTTACCGAGACGCCTTCTGCCCAGGTGAGGAGTTACCGTAGTCGGGGGGGGGGGGGGGGGTAGTACTGCGGTTCTGTTTGCTGACGATGGGGGCAGGACCTACCGGCAGTGGCGAAGAAGGGGTAAGCGGGTAAGTTCCTTGTTTCAAAGGGACTTACCCACTTTGTCCCTTTGTGTAGTAATGGTGTGAACACATTTTTCCTCTTGGAGAGTGAGGTGCAAGTTTTGGAATCGCGGCTGACAGTGATTGTACAATTTCCACATTGTTGTAATGTATGCAGGAGATGTCAGCATCAAAATGTTCATGCAAGTAAGAATGGAGAAATGGAACTAGGAAAACGAGTCCCAGATTGCAAGAGGGGCATACTGTCAGCAGAGACCAGAGATGGAGACAGGGAGCGTTGTTGATTACTTACTATCATGTGCTGCAATGATCAGTTGTTCTTCATTTAAATAAGGGGATCTTCAGCTCTTGGTCTTTCAGTATCAACGGCTCTTTTGCTGGTAGTAACCAGCCTTTAATGTGCCAGGAGGTACTGATTAAACGAAGATATCAAGCAATCATAAGGATATATTATTTATGTCATGAAAGGTCCGGCGCACAGGAGTTGCTGCAGGACGGGAGATCGAATCGCATGCCGTGAATTATTGCTGCCGGGCGAAAGACGTTCACGTCCTCGTTAATGGTCCGGTGTTTGCAAAGCTGCTTTAGTCGGAATGTTATGAGATAGCCACTACTTTTGCTAATGAATTGCAGTGCATTATTGTCCCCCCTCTGTATTAGTCAACGGATTTTCTGGATAACGTCCTGCCCAACACGTCGCGGCCGAGCTCCGCCGTCCCAGAACCTCAGTGTCCAGTACTCGGACCCTTATCCGGCCGCCCCTAGCCTCAGTGTGCAATCCTCGGACACCTGTCCGGCCGCCCCGAGCTTCAGTGTTCAATCCTCGGACCCCTGTCCGGCCGCCCAGACCTTCAGTGTTCAATCCTCGGACCCCTGTCCGGCCGCCCCTAGCCTCAGTGCTCAATCCTCGGACCCCTGTCCGGCCGCCCAGACCTTCGGTGTTCAATCCTCGGACCCCTGTCCGGCCGCCCCTAGCCTCAGTGTTCAATCCTCGGACACCTGTCCGGCCGCCCCGAGCTTCAGTGTTCAATCCTCGAACACCTGTCCGGCCGCCCCGAGCTTCAGTGTTCAATCCTCGAACACCTGTCCGGCCGCCCCGAGCTTCAGTGTTCAATCCTCGGACCCCTGTCCGGCCGCCCCTAGCTTCAGTGTTCAATCTTCGGACCCCTGTCCGGCCGCCCCCAGCCTCAGTGTTCAATCCCCAGACCCCTGTCTGGCTGCCCCGAGTTTCAGTGTTCAATCCTCAGACCCTGTCTGGCCGCCCCGAGTTTCAGTGTTCAATCCTCAGACCCTGTCTGGCCGCCCCGAGTTTCAGTGTTCAATCCTCAGACCCTGTCTGGCCGCCCCCGCCCAGCTCGTAATCCGGCCGCCCTCGAGCCTCAGTGCCGCCGCCATGTCGCCTCGGCGTACAGTCGTCGCCGCCGTCGGCCGCGGGCCGCGCGTCAGTTCCACTTGGCCGTGCCGCCCGCCGCGCCGCCCGCTGCGCCAGCCATCACGTATTCAGGCCCGGCTCGCGGGGCTCAGCCATCCCACGCCTGTCCCCGGTGGCCTAATCTGGGCCCGACGCCGCCGCGCCGCCGGCCATTAGCGATTCAAAACACTCGTCGCTGACATGATATCATGCAGCGACGGGGCCGGTCCGCCTAGTCGTTTATGCCGGAAGGCACGGCCGTGCTGTGCCGAGGCTCCGCCGATTCCGCCAGACACGCCCGCTCCGGCTTTGTCAAATCGAATTGGTATGCATTGCCGGCTTTAAAGCCGTACATCTGCGGCCGCTGATAGAGCGGTGACGTCAGGGGTCGTTCATTCCCGACCTTTGCGCCGAGCTCGCGGTTGTGGCGCCACGTCCGTAATTAATTTGCCGCGTTGTTGAGGGTCGCGTGTGTGACCCCACATGTCGCTCCAGGATTACCGCTACGATGGAGAGGCACTGCCCGTCAAAGTCATCCAGCCGGAACTGGGACATCCCGAAGTTTATGCGCAAGTTCCGCGTGCCCGAGTACAAGGACCGGCAGGTGTTCGGCGTGCCACTGGCCGTGCTGGCTCGCCGGAGCGGTCACCCGCTGCCGCCGGCCATCATGCAGGCAATGGACTACCTCCGGCGGAACGCCCTTGACCAGGTCAGTGGCGGCGTGAATATGCGACTGACGGGGTTTGGCCCTGTGGCCGCCCAGGCTGTGACCGGGGTCTTATGTCTTGGCTGGACCGGCTGTGGTCTGCGTGTTCTCACTTGCCAGGACGGTCTTGCTACTCCCGATGGTCTGCCAGTCTGTAGTCTCACTACTTCCCGATGGCCTGCCAGTCTATAGCCTCACTGCTCTCCGATGGAGTGTCAGTTTGTAGTATCACTGCTCCTCGATTGAGTGTTTATCTGTTGGGCGCAAAGTGACCATTGTAGTCGACGCGCCCCCGAGCGCCAATAAACAAAAGGAGTGTTAATTTGTCGTCGCTCTGTGCTGGTCGGTCGACCGTCGGACAGTCTGTGGCCTGAGCCTGCCTCGCTGGCCCTGAGTGTCGGCCGCGCTCCGACTGTGGTCCTGCCCGGCAGGTGGGCCTGTTCCGCAAATCTGGCGTACGCTCACGGATCCAGAAGGTGCGCACCGCGTGTGAGGAGGCTGGAGATGGCCCGGTCGCCTTCGACGAACACCAGGCGTACGACATCGCCGACATGATCAAGCAGTACTTCCGCGAGCTGCCCGAGGTGCTGCTTACGAATAAGATCTCGGAGATCTTGATCGCCATACACCAATGTGAGTATTAGCTGCAAGTGCACTGGAGCGTTTGAAGAGGGATAGTGTAGGCTTGCTGTACACTGAAACCTGACACCGACACCGATAATGTACGATCGCTGTACACCGACACTCGACATGATACGTTCGTCAAGTCTTGCGCTAATGTGGTGAAAAAAACACGTCCAGTGATGTATGGCGTTGGGCTCGCTCCCAGGGCATAACATGGCGGGCAATAATGGATCTGCCTCTTGTGTCCGCCGCGTTGTTGATCAGTCTGTGGGGTGGATCGATCACCATTACCGCTGATCACCTGTGGCCGTGGGGTGGGCCGCCACGTGTCAGCGTTCACGCGCCGCCGCCGCTGAGCGCCCCCTCCCCCCCCCCCCCCCCGGCCGTCCCCAGACGTGCCGTCCGGCTTGCGTCTCGAGGCCACCAAGTGCGCGCTGCTGCTGATGCCCGACGAGGCGCGGCTGGCGCTGCAGACGCTGCTGCACTTCCTGTCGGACGTGGCCGGCGCCGCCTACGCCAACCAGATGACGGCCAACAATCTGGCCGTCTGCCTGGCGCCTTCGCTGTTCGCCGTGACGTCACAGCGTTCGGCGTCGGCCTCGCCGCGTCGCACGCGCCGCGCGGGGGTGCCCGACCAACGCGAACTCAACGAGAACCGGGCGGCGCACGAGTGCCTGGCGGCGATGATCCGACAGGTTGGTCTGCCACCCCTGGCCGGGGATATTGTACGGATGAATTTGTATGCATGGGAAGGGGATCCTGTACGTCGTGAAACAGATGGGCAGGAATCGAGGAAACGGTGGCGATGCTTTGGAAACGGTTGTTCTTGGCGATGGTGACATGAGTTGTTCGTCAACACTTGATTCGGCTAATTTCATGAGGCAATCTCGCATATCGCAAGGGCCTGAAATAATACAATATTTAATAGATAGTTTGAACGAACGATGGCTGGCACCAGCAGCGCGCTGGTGGTAAATTTCGCGTGGGTCGAGATCGATCATAACATTGATATCAGCCTAAGATCGTTTTCAAAACGGCTTTTACTTCTCCAACACTGCTTCTGGATCTCAAATTCCTGCTTGCATGCAGGGAATTTTTACACTCTGTGTGACACTATTTGTCGAGCTTGTGTGCGGTGTTTTTAGTGCGCGGTGACCGCAGTGGTCACTTTCGAGGTTCGCGTAGGTGTTGTCGTCGGCCTCGTGGTGTTCGTGTCGTCGGCCGGTGGAATTCAGCCAAGGCCAGCAGGTGAGGTGGTTCGGCCCGCTGGCACCAGCTCGGCTCGCGGAGGCGGTCGCTGCCGTCCGCCGCGCGGCGCCGCCTCGTCCCATCGTCTCACGCGGTGCCACGCCCGGGCAGGCCGAGTCGCTGTTCTGCGTGCCGGAGGAGCTGCTGACTGGCTGCCGGTTCTCGTACCTGGACGTGTCGCAGCCGGTGGCGCTCGGCGCGCTGGGCACCGAGGAGCAGCCGGGCAGCTGGCGCGCATACACGGACGCCTGCTGCGCGGCGCTGCTGCGCGAGGCGCGCGACCGGCCGCGCGGCTGGACGGCCGTGGCGGCCGAGGACGCCGGCTTGGAGCTGGCCTACCGCAAGGTGGGCGACGGCCACCAGCTGCGGCTGTGGCGGGCCGCCGTCGAGCTGGAGGCGCCGCCGGCCGAGGTGCTGCACCGGCTGCTGCGCCAGCGGCATGCCTACGACCTGCGCCTGGTCAAGTGGCGGCTGGTGGAGCGGCTGGCCGAGGACGCCGAGGTGTTTCAGTATGCTGTGTCATCGGTCAGCCCGCTGCCTGTCACCGAGTATTGCGTGCTGCGCGCCTGGCGGACGGACCTGCCGCGCGGCGCCTGCGCCGTCGTCGAGACGTCAGTCGAGCACCCAGGTCAGTCGAGGAGGACGCCTTCGGCTGCCAGAGCGACGATGTGGCGGTCAGGCCTTCTGCGAGGAGCGCTTCCGTGGTCCGGCCGCGCCTGTGCTGATGTGTGTGCTCAGCAACCGCATGCCTCACACGTCACCACTTCCAACGTTTTCTTGGTACTCGTGTCAGGTGTGATGGGCCGAATGGGCAACTACTGCGATGGTGTAGCGCTGAATATTTGCCCCGCCTGCGTGGTTTCTGTCATGTGGAGATCCGCTTTGTCTGAAGTCTTTGGTATGCTGGTCTCGTCGATCATCGCTCCATCCCATTTGTGAGGGGCACATCAATAGAACATCGCATTGCGTGGTATTTCGTAGCTCACTGAAGTGAGCGAAAACACATTGTATTCCTGAGCATCCCCTTGGCAGTCAGCCTGGTGCAGTGGTGACGTCACAACACACAGTTACTGCGGAAAACCGCTCGGTGCTCGCGTCAGCTCGGCACTTTATCTTTGGTGGCTTGTAATCGTGGGATGCTATTACACGTCTAGCTGTACCGTACTGGGCGATGGCCATTGTTCATGACCCGCGGCACGTTTCATGCACGGCAAATTCAAATTGGTTTCATTGCGTTTTCCACATTTATCGAAGCTGTGGATTGTAATCTTGAGAAATGGCTGCGTTCATTAGAGCAGTCCGCTGTTGGAAGTTTGAAGGATTCCTGCATGCGAACTGTCATCACGCTCAGAATTCGGCCCTTGGATTGGCATTGGCCGCTCAAAAACCCAGACTAGGTCAAATCCCACATGCCGCAGCCGGGATCTGGCTCAACAAAGGGTGCATATTTAGCTGGCGGCTTAAAATGTGTGGCTCATTACAAGCTGCTTTCACGTTACTGTCAACGTTTGACTCGGGTTTCCTCTGGCCGTCCTTCCTTCCATGACCAGGTCTTTGGGCGGCCCCGGTATGCAAGCAAATGCCGTATTATCCAGGAGACCCCCCCCCCCCGCCCTTCTTTCTGAAAAGTTCCTTCCCTGCCTGGCTGCAAAAAGTAACGAAGCCCTCGTGCGTGGTGTCAGTTATGGCCGTCGTCGACCGTGGGGCGTGGGCGCACCAGCGGAGCGACAAGTGTGTGTCGCCTCTGACCTGGGTTAACGTCACCTCTGGCCGGGGTGTGCGTGTCACCTCTGACCGGGGTGTGCGTGCGGCTGGCAGATTCGCCGGTGCAGCCGGGCGGTCGGCGGGGCGTGGTGCTGGCCTCGCGGTACCTGATCGAGCCGTGCGGCGCCGGCAAATCAAAGGTCACCCACTTCTCACGGACCGATCAGAGGTGAGCCTTCACGCGGCAGGCCAGCACGTGCCTCACCTGAACTTCGCCGGCCCGGCCGTCACGGGCGGCGCGCTGCTGGCCGAGGGAGGGGAGAGGGGGAGGGGGGAGGCGACGCCTGATTTGTGGGGTCAACGCGGCGGCTACCGGCCGTGGTCCGAGTTACGCGGCCCGCGCGAGGCTGAGGTAAGAACGGCTGAGGCACTCGCCCGCCTTGGCTGTCGGCGAAAAGGTCCCCGGCGTGCTGTCTCCCGTTAAAGAGATGGCGTGTGTCTTGCCTGTGGAAAAGGTCACCGACGGCTTGCATGCAGTTAAGTGGAAAGAGCTTGCCCAAGGGGTTTGTGGAAGATGAAGATTTGTGAGCAGCGAATGCAGGAAACGCTGTTCAAGGAATCAACTTGTTTGATCTTGTGTTAATGCGTAATTCCCTGAAAATGATGGGATGATTGTTTGCGTTTTATGTAGCTCTTTTGATAATTTATGACTGTGTTTCGATAAAGTGTGTTTCGCTAATGTTTGCAACACTTACTAATACTCCAATGCGATTGAATGTTCAGCACCAACGCAAAGGCGTGAGTTAATGACTGGTGACTGACAGCGCTGCTATTTCCGCCAGGGGCTGCTCTCCAGACTGGTACAACAAGGTGTATGGCCACCTTTGCGGCCTGCAGCTGACCAGCCTGCGCGAGTCCTTCCGCCACTTGTCCGGCGGGCCAGAGAGCCAGGTCTGAAGCTGCTGCCCGACACCTGGGCTCTCGGTGGCCGCACGTCGTTGGACGTTTGCCTCATAGGCGCGGTTGGCGCCGCCGTGAGGTGGGATCTCGCGCTTTCGCTGGTGCTGGCCTCCCGGTCCAGGGCGGCCCGGAGGAGACGAGGCCGCAGTGGCGGGTCAGGACCGGCCGAGGACCACGAGAGGGGCGAGCCGTCGGCGGCGACGGCGTCCGCTGGTCCGCTGTCCGGCGGTCCGACGTTCGGTGCCCGGATGCCCGGCATTGGAGTGCGCGTAGGCCCGACACTGGGGTGTCCGGTAGTCCTACGTTGGAATGTCCGGCTGTGTGACGGAGTGTGAGGCGGCCCGAAGTTGGACTGGCGGTCCGGCACTGGAGTGTCCCTCGGCTCGATGCTGCCGACCAGTGTGTCAAGCTCGGCAGAGGCATTCGCTTTGAGGGGACCGCGCTGCACCAGCTGCGCTCCTCGACGCTGCTCGCGCGGTCGGCCGACGTCGACTCGGCCCGTCGGCCGCTGGGCGTCACAGGGACCAGAGCTGGAGCCGCCGGTGGGCGCGGCGGTGTCGAACCGGCCGAGCGCAGGCCGTTTTAGTGTGCCCCCGGGGCGCACCGGGATCAGCTAGGCTGTTACAGCGGCCCGGCGGCGCACAGCCGCGGAAAGTCGGCGCTGAGCGGGGGCGCGGCGCTGGGTATTCTGGCATGGGTGTGTACAGTCGGACTCGGTTTTGTAGCAAGTATGGGCGTGCGCTCTACACTGTAAGCCACTCACTGTGTGCTGTGGCAGAGCCGGCGGCCTTGGGGCCACATCGCCTGGGCCACATTCCACGACGTCTTATTAGAGTATCAACTAGTCCATTGTGTTGTTGCCTGTTCTCGCGTTGTGCCTGGTGTTTGTATCAAGATGTCATGTGGCGCTTGTACGCTTGATAAAGAGGTCTATTGGCTACACAATACATGAAACGCCCTTCTGTCACGCGTCTTCTCTTTCACGGATACCATAACAGTGCAAGACATCTTCTAGCGCTGGTCGGAATACGCTTATTTCTCTAATTTTGTTGCGCTTTAGAGCACGACATGCCATCGAGTTGGAGCAAGTGGCACAAAAAAACTGGAACATTAGCTCACGCCTTGCGTCGTGCTTCATACTTTCCTCCTTCGCCTTCGTAATTGAGCCAGACGTGCCTGGATTTGCGCGCCGTTCCATCCATACACTACCGATATTACCTGACCTAATTCCCTTAAACTAACGAAGGAATGACCCATTTAAAGTATTTCCCGGTACGGTGTCGCACAGAAGCTCGCTGTTTGGGTTCCAGTAGCTATAACGTTTTCCTGCTGCCTCTTTGCCTCTAGAGTTCATGAGGCGACTGAGCTTTGTGCAGGTCGCCCGTGAATCCCACGTGCTCGGCTTCTGCCGCCTCCCCCGGGAGCAGCACGAGTGGTATCCGGAGAGAAGCCCGCTGCCTGAGGTCTGCAGCTCGCAGCTCGCTGCCAGCCAGACAGCACTGTGGCGTCATTGTTTCTTTACCGCCAACGTAAACCAAACACCATGCCCATTAAGCACCGACGTAATTTGAGCCTTCGCCCACTTTGCGGGGACGTGTGGTAGCGCTGGAACGTCCTGGTCCTGGCGGGTGGGCTGAACGAGTCGGGTCAAGGGATGCTGGTAACGCGACGCTGTCAGGCAAACGTTGGATGCACTGTCAATGCTGGGTGGTTCGGTTTGTGCTGATGGTCACGAGTGATCATAATGCAACGTTCTGTGACCTATTACAGGGGCACAGCCAGGATTTTCTTAATGGGGAGGGCGGAGCCCACTGAGAACACATCAGTGGAATTGCTAACTTCCTGGCAGGAATTGTCTATGCGTGAAAAGTGGGTACAAAAGCTCCCAGCCCCCCCCCCCCCCACCCCCCCCCACCCCTCCTTCGACTTCACCGTGCCCCACAATGAGCATTCGCTTAAACAATTACCACGAACATTGCACGAAACTCGCGAACATGCCGGGAATCAGGGTTTTACTCGCGTCCCAGCACCCAATACACGGTGCTGCTAAAGGCTGCCCGAAACACAGGCGGCTACGCTGAGAGGTCTCAATGACCGACATCAGGCATCAGGATAGAACGAACTTTGCAGGCGGGCATCGGTGTTCATCATTGTTCGCTCGTGGCCATGAGTACCGCTTGAAGCGTGCTCATGACATTTATTGACAATATAACCAATTGCCAATATGACATGACATTTATTGGCAACATAACCAGTCATGTTTGCTTGATAACATAACAGGCCGGCCCTTGCAAATCCAAGCACAGTTTCAAAGCTGCCAGCGGCATTTTATAAACCACTGTTCATAATATGATAACGAAATTTTGCATATCTGGGCAAGAACAACACCGTGTATGGCTGGAGGTCACTCAGGTCAGGCTCGTGCACGGTCGATGATTTATCGTGCACTGTGTGTACCTCTCCCTGGGCCACTCTCAAAGCAAGTCGGTGGGGGATGCCGGAATGATCGGACTGGGCCATTCTGATGCCGGCAATGATCGTATTGGGCCACTCTGATGCCGGCAATGATCGGATTGGGCCCTCTGATGCCGGCAATGATCGGATTGGGCCACTCTGATTTCGGCAATGATCGGATTGGGCCACTCTGATGCCAGCAATGATCGGTTTGGACCACTCTGATGCCGGCAATGATCGGATTGGACTACTCTGATTCCGGCAGTGATCGGATTGGACTACCCTGACATGACATTGAGATAGTTGCGGCCGCTGTTCTTCAATCCACATGATGTCATAATCGGTATGAAGCGAGGGGGCCGGGACGTGCCTGGACGACGCGGCCGCTCGCCTCAGGCCGCGCCGCGTTTGTCTCAAGTCGGCTTTGAAGTCGGCGAGGAGATATAACGAAGAGATGAGCTTTCATTTGAAAGACAGCCCGAGGCAATGAATGTTGCGAAGAGGAAACGTGACGTGAGATCGGATGGAGGCATGAGGCGAACTGCGGCTTTGTCAAAGAGAAAAGTGTAAGTCGATCTCAAGCGATGATAGTGATGCTGTTTGGGCTGTAGGGGTGCGTTGACTGAAGCGATCTCGTTGTCAAATCAAAGTCGGACCAGAAAGATTTAACCATCCGGCTCTAAAAGGTGTTTCCTTATTTTGACTTAAGTGGTGGAGTGTTGCGGTTTACGTGGGCGTATGCTGTTGCAACAATCCACGCAGTTTTACATTTTTGCTAGCTTGCCCCGGAGTGCTTTCACATTTTATCAAATTATTTTTAAAGACGTCGTGAGACATTTTTCGTCCAAATTGTTCACAATTGGTCTTGAGTGGTTTGGCCCCTGCACAGCATTTGATGAAAATCGCAGGGCTCAACCGTTGACCCGTTTAACATCAGCTGCATTTGCAGCAAACTACTGTGATGTAGCGCGTTACTAGTGTGCGCGCCTGGGCCTGCCTCCGCCGCCGACCGCCGGAGGCGAGGGCTGACCGGCCGCCACGGTCAGAGCTCACCTCGAGGCCAGTCTCCTGATGCCAGTGAGAGCGCGCGGGTATCACGCTGTTGGCAGCGAGAGGGGCGCGTGTCAAGTGGACTCGAGGGAGAGACTGGCGTGGGGTGGTAGGGAAGAGCTGGAAGACTTATTGGAACTGTTGGTTGCCCGTCGGCTGGCGGCTGGGGATGAGAAGAGAGCGGTGAGGAAGGCGCTTCTTGGCCTCGGTTCGCGGGATTGTGGCGATGAATGTTTCGTCAGAAGAGGACACAGAGGATGTTCGGAGCCTGAAGTCGGCACTGCGTCGGGAGTCGGGTTCGTCCCAGAACTGGCATCAGGACCGGCTCAGTCAGCGGACGTAAGGCAGCCCTCCGAGACATGCGGCCCGCTTCTTTCCCATTAACTCCGGTGTCTGTAGAGTTCTCGCACCGCTTCGGGGCCGTCCGACCCATCCAAGGGTTGGGTCAAGGGTAAGGGTATGGTCAGTTAAGGGTAAGGTATGGGCAAGGTCACCAAGCGCCAAGTAACCATCGTCATCGCGCCGATGTCCATAGGCCCAAGGGCGCTGCAAGCCAAGCTGGTTCTGCTCCGTGGCGGCTGTATTCGCCTGCCGGTATTCTCCCCGGCATTCACTTGATTTCTAGGAGGATATGTTACATTCTCGGGTCGTTCTATCTTTATTCATAGATCACGTATCATCTTATCTTTGTTTCTAACGTTCCACTTGTTGTAGTGAGGCCGTGTTCGATATCACTGTCGCTTGTGTGAGCCTGCCTTACCACTCACGACCTGCATTGTCAACATGTGGCTCATAATCAATCTGTGGTAGCTCTGCCTTGCCACGGACAAATAGCCACATTTGAGACCTTTCGATGCAGCTCACGGCCATGCCATTTTTAAGACCTAAAATCCTCTGGTTCCTGAGATGATGTAAAGCCCGCGAAGATGTGGGAGAGTAATCGTTGGAAGTATTTAAAGGTTTCCCTGGAATACATGACGTCATAATGTCATTGAAATCCTGTCATTCCCTTGCCCATGCGCTGATCAAGGCCAATAAAGATGCGATCGTCGAGTTGCTGATATTTAGAGTTCGTGAGCACGATTTACGGACATAGCGGCTGTAAATTGGCTCTCGGTCAATGTCGTGCAAGGCACGATGACGCAACCAAACAATAATGCATTGAGGCGCATATTTAATGAATGGCCAAAGTGTGTTGCCTGAAGCAGTTTTTCCGCTCAAAGTATAGCAACGGCTATAAGTGAACTTTTTTCATCATATCTGATGCTCGATTCAATACCTTCAAATGTGAAGCATTCCCTTTAATTGCTCCCTGTCGAACTGGGCTTCATGTGATATATAGCAATCCGGGTGACCCTGACAAGGTCGGATACAGCCGCGCCATCGTAGTGTCACCTTCATGATTCCCCGCCCGGGTTCTGCCATTTACCTCAGTCCGCCCCAAGTAGAGGAGCAGGTCGCCTCCTCACCTGCCTGTTCTGTCGCACGGCCCTGCTGTATTCGCCGGATTTCACCGTCGCGTCCCCACTCGGCCTCCCTGCCTCCCCGGTCATCAGAGGCAGCTGATCCCGCCCTCCCCGACATGAGCGGGTGGCGAGCGACACGACTCTCGCGAACGCACTTGTACAGTGCTACGGTTCGCCCATGTCTGGCTGGTAGTAAAGTCGCTGGGGTCTGAAGAGTATTCGCTCCCAAGTCATGTCCTGTTAAGTACATCTTTGCCGGCTGAAATAGACATGATCTCTCGCGATCATTCGCTCGTCGTTTACATCGAACAGACGCTCTTTAATGATGACAGCACGCTACGAACTGCTTGGCCTTCATGGCTTACATTAAAGCCTGGAATATTTGGCATACGAGAAAACTAATATTATTTGATATACGAAGGCATTTTTGGTACGAGAAACGACCATAAGAGTGCTTAGTGCACGAGAAACGATTAATTCAGTTCATTTGTTCACTTCAGTAATTCAGATCAGTTCTCAGCTGAAATATTCGTGCAGGCGCTAAATCATTTTTTGGAGTTCTCAAAAGAACATTCAGATGATTTGTGACAGACAAGGCAAGCACATGCGATGTGGACAAGTCAGTAAATTATTGCCTCAACGGGTTATTCCAGAGGTAAACCGGTGCGTACTAAATTCGCAATAAATAGATAGCGATGTAGGAGATTATTGTTCAGTCAACCTTCCACGAGAAAATGCGAACAGTGGACACCATGACTGATTGAATGACCTACACATCATAGCGCTTAACTGCATATTACAGGCGCGCAAACCGCTCAGCTCATGTTATTACTTCTCTTAATCGAAATCAGTGGAAGCGCTCAAAACATTTGTTCATCGTGCCTGCCTCACGCAATGTGGAACTTTCGAATCATTGACGATGATCTGAAAAGGGAGGCCTGGGTGCGCCTTGTGAGCATAGTTCGATCTGCGAATCAAGCGACTGTCACGAGGCACGCGCACGCTTGCAGAAAAGTATGTTACTTTGCGGCAGCCTATGGGTTTTAAAGCAGCCCAGCTCAGCCTTTCTAATGCGCAATGCAGAACTTCCAAAACGCACAATGCAGAACCTCCAAAATGCACAATGTTGGTCTACCGAATTGGCCATACCCGTCAGACCACCAATCCGGCCTGTTCTGGAGAAGAGACAAACTGTTGTTCGGACAGGTCGCCGAACATGACGTCATCAACGAGGCCATGCAGGACGATTTTTGCATACACGGGTAACCCGAAGCTCCTTTCGTGTTAAAAAATGCGTTGATGCCTTGCATTGTTTAGTGTGGTTTTGTCTGTCAAGGTCGGTCATACCATACGAGGCCACACCATACCAAGGTCAGAGGCCATGTGTAAGGTCACGTGAACCCGGAAGGGCAGGGATCTGATCAAATTGGCTTATTGCATTCATTTTGGGGAGATAAATAAATCAGCATAACTCGCGCATATTTAGAGATGAAGTCTCTTGGTATGTCAAATGAATAAGGAGAGCAAAATCATTTCTGGGCCTTAATATCCGATAGTCCCTCTATTATATGCGTGAATCAATTTTCATTGAAAAGAATTTCAAAAGGCTGGTTTGGAAACGAAACGACTTTGCACGTTTCATAAGCCAATCGTTGGTTTCACTTCACCTGGACTCGTTTCAGGCGTTGCGCACCAATGAGAGTTTCCCGCTTCATCGATTCACTCTGCAGAGTGATCAATAAAGCCCACACATTTCCCTGGTAGTTATAGGACCTATACGCATATCTGGATATAGGAGCTCTCCTCCCCCCCCCCACCCTCTCTCTCTCTCTCTCTCTACTCTCTCTCAGATTCATCATCTTCTTCTCGCCTGCGAAGAGAGTAGCTCCATGCTCTCTCTCTTCTATCTCTCTCTCTCTCTCTCTCTCTCTTCTCTCTCTCTCTCTCTCTCCTCTCTCTCTTCTCTCTCTCTCTCTCTCTCTCTCTCTCTCTCTCTCTCTCTCTCTCGCTCTCAACTTCACGATTTACGACACATATACGACGGATGACGGGAAGAAATGCAAATTTGGATATAATCTGGATATGTAGATGATTATCCTTGCTGCTTAGATGAGAATACAAATAGCAGTAGGGTACCGTCTGATGATGTGCACATTTTCGCAAGGTTCTCAGGACTTCAAAGATTGGGAAAACGGGAGCATTTGGGGTAGGCGTAGTCTTAACGGCGAATTAACTGATGTATGTTGTCATAAACTTTAAGCTGGCGAATTTAGGGTGCTAGGAATTTTCCTAAATATGACTTAGCTCCTTGAAAGAAAACCTTGAGAGAACGCCCCTTTAAAAAATGGAAAAATTCGCGAGGCCATTAAAGTGAAGATTATCATCGAAATAATCTTCTCACCGTAACCAACGCACAGTTCGACGACTCATCACCATCTTCGAGATCAGTTCATCAAGCAGTTGAGAAGAAGCTCACTTACATTCTTATGGGCTGGTAAAATGGACAGAGTGGGCATAGCATAGCTTTATGTGCACGCAAGTTATTGGAAGTCCTTGGGGTTAAGAAAGAAGTCTTGTGTTATCACGACTGACCTAAGCTAGTTCAGTTATGCATAGCTAATGAGATATTTTGTAGGGGAAAATTCGACGCCTTGAAATAGATACGCTGAAACAGTGACAACCCCTTGCGTGATGATTTTATGCCCAAATTGACAAAATTTCTTACGACTGTTGTAGCCCCGTTGGATGAAGCCGATGCGTATCAGGTATGGTTTTCAATCGTAAAAAAACTCAAGACACGTAAAATTCACCCACAGCATAAAATAGGAATTCGAGACATAACCGACCATCTGAAAAAATTAAAAGGATCTGTGAGTTGCCGACTTTCTGCATCGCAAGGATATATCTGGCATTGGCGGTATGTTGCTGGTCTACCAGGGGCATATCTTAAGTTTATTAAGGAATGAAAAACAAGACAGAACAACAAGAACTGTATACAATCATTCATTCAACTCGCGAATCGCTGTAAGTTTCCAACAACTGAACAAGCGTATGGCACGATGGAGTTTTGAGGGAAATAGGTTTAAGAAATTGGGAACGTCTACGTGAGAAACGTGGCGCTTCTCTGCTGCCCACTTTGTTACCAGCTGCTCGTTGCCTCCGCCGCACTCCGTGTCCAGAGATTTCACGTCTCCGCAATCTCATGTCTCCGAACGCTGTAGGAGAGGCCGGTCCTGTGTGTGCAACGACCGACACCCGACGTGAGTCTTGGCTAACGCAGCCTTCCATGCTTGCAGGTGAGGCTCCAGCGTCTGTGTCGCTGAGCTAATGAAAAACAGACGCGCCTGCCAAAGGTGTATTTCCGAAGTACCAGCAACATATGGTGTTCACGAAATGTTTACCGTCTCGTCTTTTGTCTCTGAAGCTATCGACGACACCAGAATCAAATGATGTAGCCTCAGGGCACGCAAATGGTTTTTTGGTGGCATCTCACAACAAACCAATGGCATGTGTTAGCGCGTTGTTCGGGAAGCAAACGTTGAGGGAAGTCGCTCGGTCTGACACTCATTTATGTTGACAGACGAGTACCAAACGTTGAGAACACGGAGACAGAACGAGAGATAGTCCATGTCCGGCCGTTGAAACGTCGCTCAGTATTCATTTCGCAGTGCACGGCTGACCCGACAGCAAAAGCAACACTTACGAAAACTACACAGGCATCATGTCATAGCAACCTTAAAAGCGTACTGGCCTCCTAGCGAGGCATGATATGTTTCATTGATATGCACAGTTGTTCGTGTGGCGCGCTGAAAGAGCATCACACGTAGCAAATCAGTCGCCTGGCGAGCGGTCGACGCGGAAAGCTCGGTGACGCAGCTCGGCCAAGCGCTGGAGGGAGAGCCGCTGCGGCGCTGTGTTCAACGGCCAGCTGTTGCAGCCTGTTGAGCGGCCGTGGCGTTCTGTTCAACGGATAAGGTGGCTTCGCACACTCTGTTAAGGGTGTCAACCGACGCGAGGCGCGCGCGCGGCTACCGTAGGCAGGCCTGGCCAAAATGCTCCAGCGATGGCATAACGGCGAAAACTGAACAACTTTCGGTCAACGTAGCTCCAGCAATGCACAGGCCAAAATTTGTTAAAACTTTGCGAGTGTTGTTGCACCGAAGCCAGACTGCCAGTGCAAATTTGTGAGGCCGCTGTGAGCTGTGCATGATGGTGTCAGGCTTTCCTGTGTCATTATCTCACGTCTTGTGGCATCATGCCGAGGTCCTTGGGGAAGATATCACACAGCTTTTCCTACATTGACTTCCGGGTCATCGTTAGGGCGGAGATTGACGGCGGGATTGCGGCCGAGTTCGCGATCGGAGCTTTACGGCGGGAGCTTTACGGCGGGATTGCAGCCGAGTGTTTGTACGGGTGCATGCTAAGATGCATGTACCACACCGCCTGTAAGGGTCGTGCTTCTGGCAACATGGTGCCACCAAACAGGCTGAGGTCATTTTTTTGTGGCAAAAGAAGCAATGGGCTTCCGCAGATGTGAGTGGTAACGCATAAGCATAGCCCAAATTTGACTTGGCTGAACTCACAACTTAACGCGCCCCTAATCTGACGAATTTCATTGCACTGTAAACCGTCGTCCACACGCCGGACTAAAGCACCAGCCGCCAAACCGTGCACCTGTGTCTGTGGGGGGAGGTGGGATGGGGGCAGCAGGGCGGGACGGAGGCGGCGAGCCGGCGTGGAGAGTGTCAGTCGCCACAGTGGGGAGTGGCCTCCACGGGGGGTCGGCGCGGCCGTCCCGCCAACCACGGGCCTTGTGTAGGACTACTGAGGCGCGAGCGCGGCTGGCGGCGGAGCTTAGCTGACGAGCCGGCCGCCGGCGCCGGCTGACACTTCTCTGCACGCGGCCGGCGGGAGGACGCAGGGGACGTCGCTGAACGGCCGACGGGAGGACGCAGGGGACGTCGCCTAACGCGTGCCGGCACCGGGCCCAGGCGGACGTCACAGAAAGAACACAACACCGACCAGGTGCCGGCGACCAGGCGCGCGCGGCCCGACGTGTGGGGCGGCGCCGCTGGCAGTCTACGGCGAGACGACGTGCGGTCCGGCCAGCAGCGGCAGCAGCACGACCGAAGAGTCCTCGGCGGCGCGCAGCTCCGACCCCGGCTGCGGGAACAGCCACTGACCAAACTGCTTCAGAGACTCCACCGCGGCTGGAACGAAAGGCGGCCAGCTCACACTGATGACCCGTCACGGATAGGGAGCTCGCGCAGGCGGTCCATGGGTGCAAGCCCGCACCGTAATCGTTTAACAACAGCCAACTCAGAGGTAGTTGTACCGGCTGCTGCAGCATTCGATGGGTACGGAGACACATACAGAGACGGAGACAGAGACAGAGACAGAGACAGGGACAGAGATAGAGACAGAGACAGAGATAGAGACAGAGACAGAGACAGAGACAGAGACAGAGACAGAGACAGAGACAGAGACAGAAACAGAGACAGAGACAGAGACACATACAGAGACAGAGACAGAGACAGAGACAGAGACACATACAGAGACAGAGACAGAGACAGAGACAGAGACAGAGACAGAGACAGAGACAGAGACAGAGACAGAGACAGCCGATCGTCTAGGAGACACTCTCGGTGTCGCCATGCAGTCCGCCGGCCGCACCTCTGGGTCCTTCGGCATCGCGGGTGGAGTGATCCTCGAAGAGAGCGGGCAGCCAGCGCAAAGGTGTGGTCAGCGCGTGGGCCCAGTCGTGGTCGAACGAGGCGTAGCAGGAGGCCAGCACGCCGTTTACCACGATCGTGCCGGTGGCCGTCAGAGGTACGAAGGCGCCTGCAGGGCAGGGGCGTACCACCTTCAGTTAACGGCGAACGCTATGGCCATGCCCCGCTCGGCAAACTGGCAAGCTGAGCATGATTGTGGTTCAATTTGATATAAACGTTGACAACTCATATGTCCGCGAAAAACAATAGTATTTCACGGTATTGTGTATTATCTAGACCGAAGCCACGCGCACGCACACTGAGCAACGTTCATGACAAAGCGTTCTAAATGTGCAGATACGAAGTCCCATTGGAGCTGAGGAGTGGATTTGAAGTCAGTACAGTCAATCGCTTCAGATAGGTCGGTGTGGTCCTATATGACACCATGCCGTCAGTAGCCACAACTCTCTGGTATACGCTTTGAGGCACAGTTTTAAAGAATCCGTCTGGAGTCGAGCCATGTGAAAATGACCAGCCTTTGGACACTTGTGTTTAATTCAACGTACTCACAAATTAAGCTCGTCCGCTTTCAAAGACGGGATGGTGGCATAAGCTAACGAGCGGGGCTGAAGCACCTCCAACTGAACACGAAACCACGCGCCTGGCTACACTTATACGCATTTGAGGAGAACGTAGATTGTCTCCTTTTTTCTGTACTATGGTCGCAAATTCATGGTTTAGTACATTTTCGAAATCAGATGTTGAAACTTTCCACACTATGCACTAGATATGCAAAATTGTATGTAGACGACGTACTCCTCACAGCTAACAACCAATCAACAACATGGCCCCAACTGCCGACCTCTGTTTAGTGCACATCAAAACGGGTCTGGCGGCTAAAGGGGCTTCCACACACTCATAGCTTCGAACTCAAGAATCGGTCACCGATGCCAACTGTGTGCTCCGAAAGCGGCTGAAGCTGCCGTCCAAATGACTGGTCAGAACGCAATGTCGTCAATCACCACGCCCACACGGCGACAGTGGGGCCGCCAAGCGACATATTTATTGTCGATGCCACCAAACGTGTGATTTTTTTGATCGACCCAAAAACTTTTTAGAAAATCAAGGGTCATATGCAAACTCAACCACTCCAGACCATCTCTCACCTCCTCATTAGCTTAAAATGTTTGGACATCTACGGCAGCGTCGGAAGAGCGACCACCGGCCTCTCTTCGACATGGCGTTCCAGAGCAAAGCTTCAGATCAGGGGTGTACTCGTCCTCAACTTTTGCCCAGAACATTTTAAGCTTATTCAGGTGGACGGTTATGTTCAGTCAGGTGAAACAAGGTCAAAATCACGATTTTGCCGTGTATGCAGACGTTACCGGCGGATATGCCTCGAGCCCGGCGAACCATCCAGGGAAGAGAGGCAAGAGCTTTACACGAGGCTCACATATTAAGGAAGAAAGCGGATTTTGGTTCTGAGGGAAATTTTGCAGATACGTCTGACGTGATTGCTTATCTGAAACAGGGTAAATGAAAGGGCTGCTACACTAAATACCATTTCTTAGTTCAATACGCAAACAGTTGTGCAAAAACAGTGCTGATGATTCACCCGACATGTATCGATATTTTCCAGCCTTTATGCGTTTTCATGCTTACGCCGCACGAATTGTGCATGGTTTTGGTCTTCATTCGGGTCCAGTAAGAGCTGAATGCCACGAAGTGGTGCTTTCATTGTTGCAGCTTTTTAGTTTATGCGAAGACAGAGCGCATGTGACAGTAATTTCCGTTTTTGGGGCATGTGCTGCGGTTGCAAAACGGCTTGCTGGTACTTATCTCCGCAGGCATTCCAGGGAAGATAAAACGAGAGGACTGTTTAGGCATACCTAAACTTTCCAAGTGAAATTTTTCGCGTCCATATTCGGCCTGCCGTGGAAAGCGCGCCTTTGTATGCCGCACCGGCAAACGCGACGCTATCTTAATAGTCTGAGGCGCATGATTTATTTCAGCGAAGGTTGGAAACAAAAGAGATCTGAAAAGCAGCCCACAGGCGAGAGAGAAAATTATCCGGTGATAAAGAAATAGCCATTACAGGGGCACATGTAGAACTTCGCAGTGGGAGGGAAGGAAAACCCAACAATATCTACTAAAAAATATAGGTTAGGGCGCCACGGGTGCACAAACTTTGTAACGTAGTGTAACACAACACCGCACACTTTGCAACTTGCTTATTCTACGTGCCCATTTTGAATTTTGCTTCGTCAACATTCCGAGCCATTCCAATTCCAATTAATGGGTGCAAGAAATTTGATGGCGGAGGGATGAAGTGGAGGAACCTGAGAAGTGACCCTGGGGAGTCATAGAATAAATACACCACTCTTAGGGTATTCCAGCGAGCAAATATCGGAGGCCGAGGCAAGGAGGACACGCAAACAAATTCATAATTCATCCAAACATGTGGGGACCACGGGCGAAGAGGAACCACGAGAACCCGCCCAATTGATGCGATACATGTGTCCAATAAAGTGTGGAAAGAAATAAAGTCGAAAGAAGTCTGGAAAGAGAAAGAGGTTAAATGGTCTGTTGATGAGATAGCGTCTCCATTGAACCGTCTCCATAGATCAACTAACCGTGCCTGACATGGTTCGGCAGATGGTAATAAGATTATGTTTAAACTGCCGCAACTAGGGACAGAAGTCCCTAGATCTGTGTCAGGCGTGGATGAGCCTGGAAACGCTCTGGGACGGGCTCTGATGTGAGCGTACAGCCTAGGTGTGATTGGTAGGTGTCAAATAAGTGATTTTCACTATGATCTAGCGATATAGGTGAACAACGTACACTCGTAGCTTTCTGAAGGTCATGAATTGTAAATCCCAACAGGTTTTGAGACTCTGGAAAACAAACCCTGACGAAGATAACATGGAAAGGCGGATAACGCGAAACATGATACAACAACGACGCTGTTCGTTAGTGGAGGAACGGTGAATTGTTTTGAGCAAATTCATTTTAAGTTTCACGATACAAATACCATGATATGCTGTCAGGTTTTGCACTGGCTATAAAGGAGTTTTTCACCAAAGCCAGAATACGCAGTGGTCGTACACAAAACAAACGAAATTTGATATCGCATCCTTAATATGACGCGGCCATGCTAGGGATTTTGACGAAAGAAATTAAGAGAACGAGAAGGGAATAGCATTCTCAACAGATTTCAAGCTGATAAGTGGAAAGAAAAGCTATGGTTTCGTCACTGTGTGGGAACGGACTGAATCTGGTATTCGTTTCATGATGTCGTGATGTCCCCTCTGGGCAGTAATGTAGCCATGAGGGACTTTGGGACTACGTCCCACTGAATGTGACGGGGCCCCTGGGGACCAAGACCCGCTACTTTTTGACAATTGTGAAGCCCGTAAGGCTCTTAAAGTATAAAACGGATCCCAGGGACTTCAAAGTAGAACCCCGAAACCGAGTGGTGCAGGTGGGGGGTTCAGGGGCACGTGCCCTCCTCCCTTAGGTCCCGAGGGGCCCGACGATGATTGAGGGCCCGATTTGTGAGCCTGAAGGGCTAACCGGAGACCCATTAAGGGGCTCGGTCCGCAGGGCCTGGCCCTCGCACGTCAGTCAGGGGCCCTTTGCGGCAACTGGCGGCTCCTTAGTCGATGAGGGTTTTTTTCGGTTACATACCACCAATATCGAACGGTCGGCTATATGCCGGTTTGGGCCTGAAGGCCCATTTCCCCAGCAAGGTCAAGGTCGGGGACCGCGATGTACATTGGTCGGGGTCCCTGAAGCAATGAGTGTTCTTGTGTCGGCCAGGGAACAACAGTGCCCAACAAGGCGTCTTGTGGTGGCAAGAGACCCCGGGTCGGACAGGGAAACATTCGCTGAACAGGGACAGGAACAGGACCCCGGGGGCTAGGGGCATCTTGCGTTAGTCGGGGCTCTCTGACGATTAAAGGGGATATAAGAATGTACAATGAAAGCCCAAACCAGACGATGGAAGGGTCTGTGTCAGTCAGGGACCCCATGCCAGAAGGGAGAGGTCTGCATCCCATTTCAGCCAGCGGCTCGTTATGCTGAGCTGGAGAATGTGTCCCAATTATCAAACCCCTGTGGCGATACGGGATCGTTTTTAGTTAGTGGGGGATGCGCGTCTATCCGGGATAAATGCTCGGGTCAGAAGGCCTCCAGCGTCAGGCAGCGACCAGTGTATGGATGATAGTTCTATGAGTTTCGTATCGACCAGTGGACTCCACGCTCGTTTCGCCAGAATGGCAGCCGGTGGGCACCCTGCGCTGGGACGAAATGGCCCTTTAGTCCTTAACCGGAAATAATGATGTGTCCCCTAATGTTCTACCCACGGGGCTTTTTGCCCGGAAGAGGTGAGAAGCACCATGAATATTCAGTCAAGTGCATGGAAATAAGGTGAAAAATAGCAAACATGGCAGGCGATGTTTGTCTGAAAACGTTCATCCTACTGCAGAATTGACTAGTAAGACAAATTACTCAAAAATGCTTTGATTCAGCGTGCTCCTAATCTTGCAGCAAGAAGAGCCGGCCGGCGTTGCAGTTTCCGTAAAACCAAACGAGGTTGGCCGCTGCCAATAACACCAAATGGCGGGCGCCGGGCGCGCGAGAACGACCGTCGTGTAATAATGGTTCCGAAAGTCGTTCAGCCTTTGAAAGATGAGACCGAAGACGACTATGTTTGCGTAGACGATGATGTAGAAAATGATGCACATTTATTTATGGTAATCTGAGTTTTTCCTCAGAACATTTTAACGGATACAGCAACACGGAAATGGATATTCTACTTCTATTCCTCCAGTTCAAACACAAGATTCTTGCACCGGTTCGATGTGCTATACGTGCTAATCCTCTCCTATTATCAATCTAAAAATGTCACACATGAAATAACCACCAAGCCACATTCTGAACGCACGGATTGGTGTCCTAGAGCGTTCAAAGACACTCCTTTCACATGCGTTATCCATTCCCTCCGCCCGTTGGTCGACTTGTGAGCGCACTTGTAACATATCACACTCGTAGCATTACTGTGTAACATACTGTTCTCACTAACCGATGCTGACTGAAGGTTCAACATTCCCAGTTAACCATGGGGTTGGC